ATCTCACTGAATCATACTTGTTGAATAGTATCTTCTAATCCTAACCTCACCGATTATTTCTAATTCCCTTACTACCTCTTCTACTACTATTGGATTTGAATTGACGATTACTTCTGTGTGCTGATGTGGTATGGCAACATGAACTGATGTACTTATGTACAAAGTTCTACGTTGCATCTGACTGACTGACTGATCACTGTGCTCACTATTGATTAACTTCGTAAGGAAATTTCTCTGAGTTCTAATGCGGAACCAGGACTAGTAGATTTCAATCGTGTTGGGAGTGGGTAGTTACCTCCTACAGACAATAGGTGGGGTTGCGCAATACTTTCGATTGATTAAGGGTCGAAATTAACACTGTTGGATGCCGGCTCAATAGTCTAGCTCGCAAAACGAAAGGTCCTGCGTTCATTTACCGTAAGCGCTGATAGTAGATACGTAGTTCCACCAATGAGTTCCATACTATGGAGAAACGGCCATTCAGTGCTTCCAGGTTTCAAATGGTATGTAGTGCAAGTACCATTAGGCTGTGCCCACATGACTCGTCCTAGCTTTTGGACAAACTAACCTCCTCTATCCTAGTCTTCAGTCACATGCCTTCCGACCTTATCAGTCATTCGATTATAACCTTAGTTGTTGATTTCCGAATGGTTGTGTGCGTCCATTGAATCATAGACTTATCTCAGTTATTATTCCAGTTATTCCCAATCGATATTCATTTATTTTCATGTATGCATGCAATTCTCAGTGAAGTGTGTTCTTTGGTCTACCACTCTCACCTTTCACACTGACGACTCCAAGTTGGGATTGGCCTTTTAACACATTTAGGTTAATTGTGCTATGTGTATCATGACGTGAATATTGAAAATTGTGACTTTGGTGTTGGTAGTTGATAGTTGTTTTGAGTTCTAGATATTTTTCAAACGTCGAAAAACAGCCCTTGCTTTGGTAAGCCATATCTTTACATCAGCATCAGATCCCCCCCGGTCCATTAATGGTGTTGGTCAGTTATGTAAACGTTTCCACATATTCTGAAGTTTCTCTATCATTGGTGATTTGGTTGGTACTTTCTGTGTTTTTTTTATCGAAAGATCTTGCTTCCTCTCTTGTATATGTTGATAATAATGAGAATCATAATAACGATTTTATTCGATAATTTATATGCGTGATTACAGTAAGCAATTCTCCGGATTCATTATACGATATACGAAATTCCTGTCTAGTATCTTTTTTTTTACTGAAATCACGAATCAGTGAGATGGTGGAGAAGATTGGTAGCTCAGGTGGATGATTGTGGTGGTGGTGGTGTTTGGTTCTCTGAGCTGGGTGTTTTGGTTGTGGAGCTTTCATTGTTCTTATTTTGAACAACATCATCAGCACAAACGTCAGATAGAAGTCATTGTTAGATTACTATTAGAAGCCTGGACGCATTGGGCAGCCTTTACGTCCTAGTATGCGACCCATCTACAATGCACATGCACGATTCATGCTACTAGCAAGATTTGAACCTAAAACCCTTCGGGTTCGTGCAGTCAAAACTTGTCGTCGGGTGTAGGCTGTAACTACCGAAGACAAAGGGGTGAGGTCGTGCAAAATCCCTAAACTGATCAGAGTTAGACATTAAAACCGTTGAAGGTTAGGCATTCGCGTGTAGGACCTAAGGCCCTGAATTCGAATCTTGCCAGTATCAGGAGTTATGGACGCGCATTACCACTGATGAGTCACATACCAAGACGAAATGGCCGCCTGTCAGTGCTTCCATGTTTCTAATGATGGTCTAACAATGTTTGTTTCATGATTTCACTAGTAAACAACAATCTTCATAAATCTACATGAAATATCCTTTCATATTGGGCTATCGTATTTTATTAAAATAATATTTTCTTATCGTAAAGTACATGTGAGAGTGAAAGGCAAATGTATCAAATATGGTGAGATAGACAGACGGACAGACAGAACAACAACGCAGAAGTTCGTACATAAGTACATCAGTTCATGTTGCCATACCACATCAGCACAAATACGTAACTGTCACTTCAAATCCAAGAGTGATAGCGATAACAGAAGTATTAGCAGTAATGGAGAAGATTAGGGAGCGAAGATATGATTCAAAAGTATAATTCAGTGAGATAAGGTTAGAAAGACAAAGGTAGGTGTTGAAGAATTCAGAAGATTAGAATTTCATAGAACACAAAGAGTGGATGCACCTGCTCCTTTGCAAACGATTCTGAGCCATGTCATTCAAGGTCTCTAAACATCGAATACTATCATCTGGCGGACCCCAACCAGGTAGCCTACATCTACCAACATGACTCAATCCACTTGTCAGTGACTTCATGGATTTGTGCCATGTTTTGGTTTGGTCGCCCCAACCTTTCTTCCAACCTACTTCTACACCACAAAACATAGCTCGACGGGGCAGTCTGTGGTTAGCCATACGAATCACATATCCCAACCACCTCAACTGGTGAAGTTTCACTACTTCATCTATTGATTTGCTATCCCTACCTAGAACTCGTTTCCTAACTAGAGCATTGCTTACTTGATTGTCCCATGATCCCACGAGCAATGCTTCGGAGACACCTATGATCGAAATCCAGTAACATACGAATATCTTCTACTCCGACTGGCCATGTTTCACAACCATAGAGTAGGACGGAACGAAAGCTTCAAAGGGTAACGGCCGCTAACTAGGGATCACTAGTGAACTCTGTCTTGAACGTTCTCGTTTTCACCTATTCCCTAATTCTGTTGACAGTTATGAGATATACCTTGAATCACACTGTGTGTTGATTGATTCACCTATCTTTAAGATGTTAAGTTAAAGTTTGTCTCTCAACAAGAGACGTGTTAAATGACAAACTGTACTTTAAATAAAAGCAAATTTCAACAAACCTACTTTTGTTATATAGACACCTTTTCTTTTTCTTATTCTAAAAGTAAATATTTGTCCTGATCGATAGAGTGATTGAAATTGTATATAATGAATGATATTTTTTTTAATTAAGGCAAAAATCCTGATTGATTAGGCTTTTTTCTGTGCTAATAAACATTTAATTCAGTAATATCTTAATGAGTAAATTAAAATTTATAGAGATTGTTGCGTTTTCATGGTTTAAAATTATGAATTGATTGAAGCTAGACAACTGTTAGTAAACTAGAAACATTGAATGGCTGTTTCATCTTGGTATGGGACTACTAAGAAGTACTTATTCATCATACCGCGCTAGGGAACTAAACTCAGGACCTTCGGTGTTACGTGAGACAACGTTTGACCGTACTGACCACTGAGTAAGTATTCAGTGGTGTTAACGTCTAACTTGAATCAGTCCATCACATCACGTTAGTTGATCCAGTGTGTTTGACAGACAACTGCCTCACACCTGATATAGTTCAGGGCGTGGGAGCTAAACTCAGAACCGCCGGTCTTTCGTGAGACAACGCTTGACCATATTGACCACTGAGCCAGTTTTCCAAGGGTGTTAATGACATTGCGTTACTTCATCTTGTGTGTTTGACAGACAACTGCCTCACACCTGATATAGTTCAACTCCATTGGTGGCAGCTTCTCACTAGTACAGAGAAAATTTCTTCATGAAGCTTGCCACTAGTAAGCGGATGGTTGTTATTCATGAAGAAGATTTGTAAAGTTTGTAGCACCGTTTGATGCTGACTCAGTTCACTAGTGGTTAAGTGGTCACGCTCAAAACTGGAAAGTACTGAGTTTGACTGTGGTGGTGTTTCATTCTCTGAGCTTTCATTGTTCTCCTGAACAACATCATCAGAACAAACTTCAGATAGAGAAGTGAAGTTTTCGAATTTCTCCACGTTTGACATATAGCTTTTACTGTTAACCTCGATCGTGACTGGTTGGTGTTGACCTTAAGTCTGTCGCTGTTTGCACCTTTGTTTTAATTGTATCTCCTATGTGGCACATGATTTTTCTGATTAGTTTAAAGATTGGAGCAGTGTTCGATGTGTTGATGTTGATTGCTGATTGACCTGAGTGCCATGTTTCTAAAAATTCTCTAGTGTTCTTAGTCCTTCCCCTATCCAGTATTTTCACATTATTCCAGTCGAATGTAGTATGTCCATAATTGTCCGTATGTATAGAATTATTTTCGTGGCGTTTGACTGCTAACTGGTGTTCACGTAAACTGAGTTTGATTTCCACCTGCACTGGTCATGGTGTGTACTGCTGAAGAGTCCCATAATGGGACGAAACAGCTATACAAAGCTTCCATTGTCTTATATTTCACTGTTCATGCGTTTCATACAAATTCCATAGTGTTCCCGCTCTTCCTTTCTTGATCTTCCCCCATCTTCTGCTGCCAGACATTACGCTGACACTCACGTCATATACTACTTATAAGTAGCGTGCAATACACATAAACTGTTGATAAGTGAATGATTTCAACTTGTAAGCGTTTTGTTTTAGCAAGTTAGATTGCTACGAGATGGGGTCGCTAACCCAATGCCCAACCCTACTCCTTAATCCGCAGGCTTTGAACCAAAATTAACCCTAGAAAGTATCCTGGCGGTGTTCTTCCTTACAAAAATGTATATTGTTGGGGACGTTAAAAAGCCAGAACTCATTTGATGATAAAGGTCCTCATTTTTGGATTTTATTTACAGGTTGATCAGCTGACCTTGAGATTACATTTCCCACTCGAAAAATCCTTGACTGTTATTAGTTGATGTACTATTTTAGCACGAAATGTTTGTGGCTCTCCCAAGGACGTTTCTATCATGTGTACTTGTCAACCTCATATTTTCTGAACGCTTGTAGAATACATTTTCTACGCCATATCAAGACATCTTCCTCTACTTAGTGCGGCCTTGGGTCGCTCAAATTAGAGTAGCCTATCGTGTCATTGGACCATTTATCTTCGCTCTCGTTTACCGACTAAGGTGAACTCGTAATAGCATTCAAGCATATCAATTGACGAGCATAACATACAAAACTGTATAGTTTCTCTTTTAATCTTTATTACTGACAGATATTATTGGACACTGAATGGTAAACGTATCAATTGGATCAAACCATACCAGCCAGTTAAAACAACACCAACAACAACATCACAACAAGTATTATCACAATCAATTGATACTTCATTATCAGATGAAGAGAAAAATCAATTCGCTTTGAATGATTCATATAATCTGATGATGATGAATGATGAATCAGGTTTATGGTATTTCGATGTACAAAACAAAGTGCCGAATAATGTAATAATAACTGGAACTTATCAATGTATCGCTATAAACGCGTTTGGTAAAGCTTTATCAATGCCAATGAGATTAGAAATTGCACGTAAGTGTACCAGTCGGATGGTAGATGATTACGATTATTTGAATGTTTGAATTCAAATAAACAAAGAACTTTACTTAGATATCATGAATGAATCCATTGTTAAAGCAACATTAAAAACCCAGGAGGCATTGGATGACTGTTTCGTTTTGGTATGGGGACTCATCAGCAGTGAGCATCCAAGACTCTTACGAGTAGCAGGAGCTCAATGATTTAGAGGCTAGGCCGATGCCTACTGCTGCTGAGCCCCGTATCAAGACGAAACAGTTGTCAGGTGATTCCAGGTTTCTAATGATGCTCCAACAATAATTCATTCATGACGTCCAAATAAAACTACCATCTCCATCAGACTGTAATTCAAAGTCAAAGAGCTATACAGTCTGAGATTACTAAAGCATTACGTAACAAAAATATTTCGAAAAGTCAGCTGGCATCCTCTTCTTCGTATTCATTATTTATTTTTATTTTTATTAGTGTATGTTTAACATATCGCTAAATGTTCTTTGACATTGAATTCTTGAAAGTGCTGTCTATTTTTACGTTTTCTTATTAATAAATTGTATGTGTTGTGGGGTTGTTGTGAAGATTATTAAGTTTCATTTGTAACCATGAATCGACCAATGATAGACCACCATTAGAATCCTGGAAGCACTGGACGGGCGTTTCGTCCTGGTAAGGGACTCCTCGGCAGTGCGCATCCACGACTCCTGCACCCCGCAGGATTCGAACCCAGGACCTTCGGTATTGTGCGCGAACGCCCTAACCGTTAGACCACTGAGCCGGTACCTGACGGCGTTGTTAATGTCTAACTTGATCAAATTCACGGAGTTGCGCAACCTCATACACTGTATACATCCGGATAGGTTTGAACTTAACTGGTCACGACTTCCCACTAGAACTCGGAGATTTTGATTTTCTCAACTTCTCTTTACTATAAATTACACACTGAAATCATCAATCAATCATTGTTAGACCATCTTTAGAAATCTGAAAGCACCAAACGGCAGTCAAGTCCTGGTATAGTACTCATCATCAGTAAGCATCCAAGACTCCTGCTACTCGCAGGATTCCAAACCAGGACCTCCGGTCTTGCGTGCAAACACTTGGCCTCTGGACCACTAAACCGGCATTCACTGGTGTTGATTTCTAACTCTGATTAATCTAAGGATTTTGCGCGACCCCATCCATTTGTCTTCGGTAGTTACTGCCTACACCTGACAGTTCTGAATCCCACTGGTCACATCTTCTCACCAGAACTCCGAGAACTTCCTCTCAAAGCTAGTCACTAATGTGCACATTGTGCGATTTTGTCAATTAGAGTTTTGGAGACCAGTGTTTCAACACGTTGAAATTATCAATCAACAATGATTGATTGAACGGCTGTCTGTTAGTACGTTCAGGTTTCTAATGGTAGTCAAACAATGACTGTTTGCTGATCTCCATAAGTCGAATTGATAAATTCGTCGAAATCATAAACCAAACATTATTAGAACACCATCGGAAATATGGGAGCATAAGATGGCTGTTTCATTCTGGTGTTCTAGTGCGATGCCTTGACCGGTGGAGTCCAACCCTATTGGGTGTAGGTAAGTATCTTACGAACACAATAGGCAAGGTTGTGCAAAACATTTGACTGATCAGAGTTAGACATGAATACCGTCGGATTTCAATGTTCATTTCAGTAGTCTGCTATGCTTTAAAAATGTACAACTTACACAATTTTCTTGATATTTATTTCAAGCTTTACATAAATATGTATTGATTTATTGGATCGATTCGATCATGTTGCACTACTATACAGGTATCATCTATGTCGTATCATTTGACCTTCATCAAAAAAATACTGTTAACCTTTTGAAATGATGTAATCATTTACTGAGTTATCAAAAAGTTGATCTCATGTGTTATGTACGCTTTGATAAAAGCAAGTTTTGAGTTTGTTTGTTAAAAATGTATGACATCATGATTACTTCATGTGTACTTTTAGCATGGATCATGCATGTAGGATCAATAAGATGACTCATTGTCAAATGTGACGTAATCTACAAATCTTCAACTTTGAATACGTGATAAATCATTGTTTGTTTTACTGCTGTGGCCGTTTGTCATAATTTTTCACTATAGAGTTACGGAGATTGTTGAGGTTTCATTGATATTAGGAACGATTCATTGTTAGACCATCATTAGAAACCCACAAGCACTTGAGAGTTGTCTCGTTCTAGTGTTCGGCCTGTCAGTAGTGCTTATCCACGATTCCACGAACCCACGACCTTTAGTCTGGCTCACAAACGCTTAAGCTCTAGACCATTGATATCGATTTCTAACCTTAATCAATCTCTGATATTGCGCGACCTCACCCCTCAGTCATTAACTGAACTGATTTTATGAAAATTGGTTTTATACATCAGTTGTATTCTCCATAAATTTATTTGTACTGAGTAAGTGATTACCTCGATGTTCACTGTTCATGTGAGTTGTGATTCATTGGGGGAAAAAAGCTGGCGAAAACCATCAGTTCATGAAGTCACATACTGCTGATCTAAACCATGTTCAATGGTTGTAAACTCATGGATACATCGCGAAAGATTGATCACAGCTTAGATGCTCTCATATTTTTTAGGTTCTTTTCAATCTTGAGGAGATTGTTGAGTCCCCGAAAAATCCCTGATACTGTCAAGAGTGGAAAGAGTTAACTCCCTCTCTGCAAATGGTCTTTCATTACACTGTGTATATTAGCCACTCCCAAACAAGTCCTACTCACTACCTTCTCGTCGCGAAGTTGTTGTTTACGTAATCGAATGTCCGACCAAGGACCCACTTAGAGGTGGTTTGCAAACCTCTCATTCCAAAGTAATGTTACACATCAACTCCACAATCGTGATGAAATGAATAATATATCAACCTGCTGTTTGTCATCAATTACCATCTGACTGCATCTCACAACGTCACTCTATTGTGTTGTGGATTGGACATTCGGGTGAAAGGTTAGATTAGTGTTCCTTTGAGAAAACCACCTATTTTTTTGTTTCGGCCGCTTTTTTCTCCTTTTCAAATTTATTTTATTAGATTCTACTTCTTGAATAATATCTTCGAATCCTATGCTTCACCAGTATCGCTAATACTTCTACTACCTCTACTACTATGCGATTTGAAGTGACATTTCCATCTATCTGTGCTAATATGATATGACTACTGGAATTGATCTACATAGATTACAAGTTCTATATCGTACCTAACTGAATGACTGACTGATTTCTGTTTGGACGTCCGGGAACTATCTTAGCCTACTCACAATGGTTAGAGTTTCAACACAAATGTTATTTTCTCCTGGATCTCTTGCAATTCTATGGCCTTTAACATCTTGTCGTACTTATGTCCATGGCAGTCAGGGGTAATGAATATATTTTTGCCAAGTTCCACGTTGATAATAACTAACTGATTTTACTCCATCTACAGTAATAACGAATCTGGGTTCAATAGTCTTGGATGTGAGACAGTTATCCAATGTCTATCAAAGTGAAACCAATACATCGCTGAATACTGAATCAGTTGTCTAAAAGTGAAGAAGTCATGTTTTCGATTCCTTGGGACAAGGTCATGGGTGAATAATCTTTTTCGGGTTAGCGTTTTTTTCAGAGAGTTGGAACTGGAAACAGATGTGAAAAGAACGAGTAGGAATTGGGTAGAATTGAGAAGGAAGGTTTACGACAGATGAGATTAGAGAATTACGGCCTATGACCGATGCTCTATTAAGCGGTAACAGACACAAGTAAGTAAGAAAGTGCATAAGTGCATAAGTAAGTAAGCAAGTATGTATGTAAGTAAGTAAGTAATCAAGTAATTAAGTAAGTAAGTAGGTAAGTAAGTAAGTAAGTAAGTAAGTAAGTAAGTGAGTAATCAAGTAAGTGCATGCGTGCATAAGTAAGTAAGTAAGTGAGCAAGTAAGTAAGCAAGTAAGTGCATGCGTGCATAAGTAAGTAAGTAAGTAAGTAAGTAAGTAAGTAAGTAAGTAAGCAAGCAAGGGTCATGGATGCAAAGTTCTACATTCAGACGAAACATTTGTTCAAAAAATTTGTCTTATCATCTTGTTTCTTACTAACATTTTCTTCTTTTAAAAAAATTTAAATTTTTCCTCACTAGGCATTGGAACATTTCATGATCTTAATGCAAAAACCATTTTAATTAAACCAAATGAAACAAACATTTTAAATTGTTCCACTACAAATAGTATACCAACAGCAAAAATTCAATGGATGGTAAAAAATGATGAAGATGGTTTTATGAATTTTGTACATGAAGATGAAAATCACATGATGGATGATAATGGTAAGTTTCTAATGCATTTTTTACGGTATGAAAATATATTTCATGATATAATGTTGGCTGTGTTTCCATTTTGAAATGGTTAATCAATCCTTGTTAGATGAACATCGTAGCTGCTACCTTGACGTGGTGGTCGGGATTGCCTATCGTCATGACCCAGCCGAGCTATACTGGCTGAAACATTTGTTTCTGAAGGTTCTACCATGTCAGGCAGGTCGATTGGAGAACGATGAGACTAAAAGCAGCTGCTACTCAAGGTCTGGGGGCGGATTTGTACTGCGGATTCACTGTAGAGGGGTGTGACAGCAGTAAGGTGTTTCCCTCGGACAACCAGCATCTGCAGCGATGCTGACTTCTCACATGGAAGGAAGGGGTTAGAAAAGGTCGACCCTAAAAATGATGTCACACCTTACCCTACCTCACGGATTTCCGTCTCCGACGGTAAGGGTGCCCACTAAGGGCTTTTAAGAGCGGAGCTAATACTCAAAAACCTTTCATTAAAAGGCCGTGCATGATCGGCCTCAAGCAGTTGTCCCTTGGGCTCTGCAGTCATGCTCTCAGGTAGTTAAGACCGACACCAGTCTATCTTCTTTTTCACGTCCCTCAAGAAACACCGTTCCACGGTGTGAGCAGCCGGGAAGTGACAATTGCCCTCACACCCGTAACAGCACACGAGACCAAACTGGTCAAAATCAAATCCTTCCTACACCCGCTATCGGAAGCACTGGATGGCCGTTTCGCTCGACTTACCAGCAGTGAGCACTCACGACCCTCGACTGCGGGCATCAAACCAAGAACCTTTCGTCTCGCGTGTGAACGCCTAATCTCTAGATCACTAAGTCAGCATGTCTAAGGCGTTTGCAACACCTCACCCAATATGTTCGGTAGGTAATAGCCTCACACTCGACATGGTTGAACTCCACTAGTGCATAGAGATAGACAGTAGCTAGCAATGGAAGCCATGCTACATGTTTCGGCTCATCTCGGACACTTCAGCTGGATGCTCCTTCATTCTTAGAGTTGATGCTTATTATGAGACTTTGACCTATTTGGTTATCCATTTAGGCACTGAGTCCAGTTAACCCATTGTTTGACTTCAACTAAGGTACAGGTAGATCTAATTGATAAGTTCTGAATAGGATTCATTCCTGAGTTTGTTACTAATAATCATAGTCCATTTACTACATGTTAGTTAGTACATTTAGTTCTCAGATAAATGTATTAACCTATTTGTGAACTCTTCATCAGTGTTCATTTAAGATCGAACTAAGCATTGAACTGAAAACATCTTTTTTATCGACTTTCTATTTGAGTTGTGATCATCTCTGTCGTTAGTGAGTTAGATATCACAAACTCTACTCATAAATATCAAGTGAGTAGTCCAGATCTGTCCGTCCGTAGTTTGAGTATACAGTAGGACAAGTTTTTTTTTTAAAAACAAGAAGACATTGGACAAGTTTCGCTTAGAAAAAATATTCGCTTTCTTCTGAATAATTAGTTTTGAATAACAAACACTTCAGCATTCAAAATGATATCGACCTTGAGAGCCTTCAATCACTTACTTACATACTTACATACTTACTTACGCCTGTTACCCCCAATGGAGCATAGGCCGCCCACCAGTTTTCTCCAACCAACTCTGTCTTGGGCTTCTCTCTCCAGTTCTGTCCAATTTTTGTTCATTCTTCTCATATCTTTCTCTATTTCTCGGCGTAATGTGTTCCTTGGACTTCCTCTTTTACTTTCATCCTGAGGGTTCTAAGTGAGGGCTTGTCTTGTCACGCAGTTGGGTGCTTCCCGCAATGTGTGTCCTATCCACCAACTCCACAGCTTCTTCCTGATTTCCTCCTCCATTGGAATCTGGTTTGTTCTCTCCCACAGTACATTATTGCTGATCGTGTCTGGCCAACGAATACGAAGTATTTTGCGTAGACATCTGTCCATAAATACTTGTATCTTCTGGATGATGGCTTTGGTAGTTCTCCAATTTACCGCTCCATACAGTACAACTGTCTTGACATTTGTATTGAAAATCCTGATTTTGGTTTTGTTTGAAAGTTGTTTGGAGTTCCAGATATTTTTCAACTGTACATTTAATCAATTACTTTTAAAATAATTACTTACTTACTTACTTTTGCGTGTCATCGCTAATTGAGCATAGGCCATCGATCAACACTCTTTAACCCTACTCTATCCTAGTCCTTTCTTACAAGTTCTACTCAACTGTTGTACATTCTTTTCATGGCTACTTTCCATTCTGAGCGTAATACGTTCTTTGGTCTTCCTCTTTTCCATTGGCCTCTAGGATTCGAAGTGAGAGCTTGTCTTATGTCACAGTTGGATGCTTTCCTCAATGTTTCTAATATAACAATAGAATGAAAAAAGTTTATTTATATCACTTT